TTGATAGATCAGATCGTTTACAACAAATTCCCTTGTGCTTTTAATCTTTCAACATTTTCCCAATCAAATGTATATCGACAGTTGTCCACATGTATTGATATAATCTCATAGAATAAAACTCCATCCAAATCATTCACCTGAACTACAAATCTCTTCCATCATCTCAAATTTGATCAGTTTTTAGATGTTTATTTACAAAAAAAAACAAGTTTAAACATACTATTCATTCACAGATAGTGATCAAATAAATCAGTAATGATTTCAACACTTTTGAAAGTCACTTTCCATATACTAATTTAACAGTTTAATTACAATACTTTATATTTCCTGTCATTGTGTCTATAAAATTGGGTATTCTACTATTTTAACATTAAGGTAACATTACATCATACCAATAATCTAATCTAATTAATATTGAGTAAATAATAATTAATTTAGAAATACTGTCAGTAACTATGTATATCAGTGTAGTATTTATGTTGTGTATAGTTTCTTCTTGTATTATCAAGAAGGTTTTCTTATATCAGGAAATGTACATATTGATTTTTTCTACCAAAATAGGGAGTTTTCTTGAAGTTAAGATTTTCTCTTATTAGATTATTAATCGATTAAATTATGAATATATAATTCTATTGGCTAATAGAAACGTTTTGACATTTTTCAATAATATGCATTTTTCTACTATTTAGTTACAGTATTGGTAGAAGTAGTAGTAGTACTCTGTAGGTTCATGCTATTATTAAGAGGATTATTTACTTACTTACTTACGCCTGTTACTCAAAATGAAGCATAGGCCACCGACCAGCATTTTCCAACCCAATCTGTCCTGGGCATTCCTTTCTTGTTCTGTCCAGTTTTTGTTCATTCTTCTCATGTCTGTCTCTATTTCTCGGAGTAATATGTTTTTTGGTCTTCCTCTTCTCCTTTGGCCTTCAGGATTCGATGTGGGGGCTTGCCTTGTGAGACAATTGGATGATTTCCGCCTGTAGCTCCTCCGGAGGCTACTGCAGGTCTCAAGCAAAGGTAAAGGAGCAGGGTTGGGCATGGGGTTAGCGACCCGATCCCGTAGTAAACGCTAACCAGGAAAAATTAATAAGAGGATATATCAGTTCAAACTGTTAATTCTTCTCAAATCGGTTTTCTAAACTTTAAATACATTGAACTCGTAAATCATTAGTTATCAGCATGGGGTTGTGGAGATTGTTGAGTTTGAGTTGATATCATAAATGGATGATGTTAGACCACCATTGGAAACGTGAAAGCACTAGACGGCCGTTTCATCTTAGTATGAGACTCCTCAATGCTGCACATCCACGACTCGAGCCCAGGACACGAACACTTAAACTCTGCACCACTGAGCAGGGATCGAACCGTAGTAATGTCCAACTGCAACCAATCCACGATATTGCACCGCCATCCACCATTGTCTTCAGTCAGTAACTACTTCACAAAAGACACGGTTGAACTCTGGTGGCCGCGGCTTCTCATTGGAACTGCAGGAAATTCATCTTGAAGCCAGTTACTAGTGAGCACATTGTTATTGGTCGATAATAATTCACTGTTATACAAATAACTTTTGAGGAGTCCCATACTAAGACGAAACGGAAGTCTGGTGCTTTCGGGTTTTCAATGATGATCTAACGTTGATCTTAGTTAAAACCTAAGCAATTGTTAACGAAAGAGATTTAAGAAGTGATTATTTCATAGTCGAAGATGCAAAAATATGTTTCTCTATAATTATTTTCATGAATTGATTATTTTCGACCAAATATCTGGTTGACGTGGATCAGGATCAGCCACGATGAATTCCGTACATTTATCACTATTTATTGTCCATATGCTCATCAGTTGTAGCAGACTTTGCTGTTCCTTCGTTTCCATACCAATCACTCTCTGTTCTCATTCCCTCGTCTCCTATTTTCTCAACCTTCTACCGCCAATCATTTCACTTTCGGTTGGACAAACATACTACTTATATTTGTTGATATCAGTAGCACACCACACTACTACTACTCGTAAAATAATTTATATTTGGAAATAAGGTGTAACTGTTCGTAGTAGAATGTTCATTAATATCATATAATCCCGAATATATATTTTAGGAAAATTCGCAAAATATATCATCTGGTGTACTCCATACTGCCGCATCATAACTTGTGAATTTGTTGAGATAGTTTATAGTGACTTTCTAAAGAACAGTAATCAACTTTGTTTAAAATGAAATGTCAACGATGTAGTAGTGGTAAATTTGCCTAAATAGTACGAAAGATTTCTATATCTAATAAATGAAATGTGGTTAGCAATTAAATTCAGGACACATGTTTTGCCTTATTTTTGGTTCGTTAGTTAGACTTACCTGTATCCTACGGTAGATGTTTATTCTGGGATTCGAATGCAGTATCTTTTGTCACGAAGTCCAACACAAAATCCACTTGGGTACTGTGTCCAGATAGTCATTTATACAACATATATGAATTTTTATTCAATTCGTCATATCTTGCATTATCCCATTGTTGATGTCTTGACTAGATTTTGATTAGTCTTAGTTGGCATACATTCGTCCTTGCGAATTGTTTCAATGATAGTCAGTCACTTGAATGCTGATTTTTATTTATTTTGGTTGGGTAATCTTCACCGTCAAAAATCCCTCGTTTAGTTTCATTTTAGGGTCATACCACGAATAAAGTGCTGACACAATGTTTTTTAATGATAATTTAATTGTTTTGTAACTGGAGGTAAACATTTCTACTTGTCATTTGTTATGACCGTGGCAAAACTACAACTTATTACAGCGGGACAGAACTGATGCCCGTCTATACAAGAACGAAGGAAAGACTGAATGTGAAAAATTATATATTGAATTCTTGGTAGCCATATCGTGTATTCTTATTGCTGTCGTCCAGGGCTTTCAGGTTTTTAATGGAGGTCTAGCTGAGATTGGTCTGTGATTTATTCTGTGAAGATTATCCAAGTAGGAGCAATAGATTTATTACATATTTGAGCATTGATTCCACCACTGAGTTGAAACTATGTGCAAATTAAATAGTCCATAATTAAATTTCAGTACATTAAACTGTTCAGTATCTGACATCAATTCATTAATAATTTCATATACGAATACAATTTATAACATTATAACATTATTTTACTATGTCCTGATTGTCATTAACTGAACATAGACATTGGGGAGGAAAACAAGTTCTCATTGGTTAATTCACATCTGCTGAACAGTTTAATGATTGTCCGAACTGAATAGCTCAGTGGGTAATGCGTTGGGGTTTGAAGTGATAGCTACTGGCTTCATATCTTAATATGAACAGTAATAATGGAATACAGGTACGAAAGGCTGATGAAACCTAGATAGGATGAGATCAGCTTATTGGATTTCCTTGTCAGCCACAACTTAATAAAACTTGTGATTAAATAGGAATATCGAATCAACGCTTTCAGAATGTACATTTACCAGTCATTATAATCGTAAAAAAAATACTAGGGTATAAGAAGTAGAGAACGTATCAGCAGTTGTAGGAAAGATTAAATAAAAAAAATTATAAGAAGATTTCAGGACTCAGAGACCCATGGAAGATAAAGAGTCTATTCATCTACGCGATTGTGATCTATTTTAAGTCATAACCCGACGTCTCCAAACACTGGTCACGATCATAGCATGGATCCTTATTAAATAGACTGAATACACATACACAGCTTAGTTCAATCGACAGTGACCTCAAAAAGTGATGTAAAGTTTTAGATTAAGCGCTTGTAGTTTTCTTCCAGCCTACATCTACACCAATCATCATCAATAGTCGTGGCAGGCGGTGGATGAACCTATGTAATAGATGCTCCAACCACCTCCGTTGATAAGGATTCATTGCCTTATCAAGCCATTTTCCATCTTCGTCTGGTAGTTTGGATCTTATCTTAAAGTTGACCACTCGGCGGACCGAAATTACTCCGGCAGTGCTTCGGAGACATCTGTGTTAGAATACGAGTAACCTACGAATATTCTACTTTACAAGTGATAATAATCGAAACCCAACAAGTAGAGTAAAACTAACTGTTGCACTCATTCTTTGATTGATATTATTTGCGAATGAGGGATTATTTCGTAAACCAATTTGAAAAAATAAAAGTTTTATTTTTAATAGACGTTTAAATTTATATACTCAATATTCATTGAAAGCTTACTATTGCAGATATTATTATTTACATAAAAGCCATATGATGTTTATATCATTTTTACTCTAAAATAACACCATACATAGTTTTCAATAAAATAAAATTTTCATGGTTGAAATCATGAGTCAATTGAAGCGAGACCACAAGGTAAACCTGGAAGCACTGGACGACCGTTTCATTCTATTGTGGGAACCCTCAGGAGTGCGCACCCACGGTCTCGCCTCACGAGATCCAAACCCAGAACCCGCCGGTCTCGCGCGCGAGCACTTAACCGTTAGACCATTTAGCCGGCATCCAACGGTGTTAATGTCTAACTTCAACCAATCCACGAAGTTGAGCAACCGTTTACCAATTCTCTTCAATGAGTTGATATCTCATAACAGACCTGGTCGAAATTCACTGGTCACTGCTTCTCACTACAACTCCAGGAAATATATCTTGAAGTCAGTCACTAGTGAGTATATGATTATTATTATAAGAAGGGGTTTTGTGGAGATTTCAATATTTTCATAGTTGAAATCATGAGTCAATTGATGCTAGACCACCAAGGAAAACCTGGAAGCACTAGACGGTCGTTTCGTTCTATTATGAGACTCCTCAGCAGTGCGCATTCATGATCCCGCCTCGCGAGTTTTATCAAATTTCTTAGTACAATATCTATTCTATGTACCTTTTAATAGTTAAAGTTTTAATCAGTCAGCTGTCATATTCCACACTTCTTTACCAGTCTGTAATGAAACATATACATATATACATATAGACAGTTTATGCCAATGTCATTGTTGATCTTCTTTATATTCTACTTTGTATTTTCTAAACAGAATGATTGCCTTGGTCGTGTATTATTTAATCAAGTTATAGAACGATTAGGTGGAATTATTGAAAAAGATTATTTTGGTTTACGTTATTTAGATCGTTCTAAACAACGGGTAAGATTTCTTATGAATACCTTCAGTCTTCATTTGTCTAGATGTTTTGTCATTAAACATATTATTTATGATGGAGTATCATCATGTGTAGAGATCTTTAGAAAGTAATTATTGGTGAGTTGAGCAAATGAGGCAAAGGTTGTAAGATAGATGCTCATTGTTAGTAGAGATTTAGTCTGCTTTTTAAAAGGAAAACATGCTCTTGGTCGGAAATGTAGCTTTATTATCTTAGTGTTAGAAGTGGCTATTTGTGTATATACATTCTTGCTTCAGTTTTAATCAATAAAGCTCACTTTTAACTCTCTATCTTTTCACTCACTTATCTTGTTTGTGCTCACATATAAGTAGCTTCCATCTATCTGCATTTAGTTCTTCTGGATGATATATAATGATGTGATTAGTTTGCATTTGGTAAATATGAAACTTGTGAGTTATTTACAAGATTTATAATGTCTGTTTACGACCATGTACATCGTGGTATCGAAAGATTCACCTTACACCTTAGCAACTGAATTCAAAATTCTACAAAACACAGCAAAATCTTTTTTGAGAAGTTTAGAAAAAAAAACAATAGCAAACAGTATAGAATATTAGGTAATATACAAGAATTACCAATTCGTATAACCGAATTTCCAGTAATACTAAAAAAATATGATCTCTTTACATAATAAGTTAGACGATAAACGGCCCTTAGTATCGACTAAACATGGGAAGATCGAGAGAGATCATAACAGAAACATGTACTAGGATTAATAACATTCCTAATACTACAGATTTCATTTGATTCTAACAAGATATTTAATTGTTTGGTATGTCTCAGGCTAAAGTAAACACTTTCGACGTTTAGATGGATTAGGGCTAAGACCTTTAACAATCGACTATTATTTTATGATTGGAAGGGAATTTGAGGAGTAAGTAACGTGTGAACATCTTTAACACCAATTTAGGGAATGAGTAGTTTTTCTCCACTGCTAGATATGTAAATAAAGCAATTTTAAATTGTATTTTTCCGGTTGCACATTTTTTAAGCAAAGTTCACGTTAAAGGACAAAGTCGCTAACCCCTTGATCAACCTTCCTCTTTTACTCAGGCTTGAGACTAGAACTAACCTTAGAGGGTCTCCAGTTGGAGTTAGCAATTAAAAAAAATCCAATTGAGTATTTTAATTATTTCCATTGGCTTAGTAACAACTAAACGAATTTATAACTTTAGCCTAAGATATTATTATTAAGGCCAATACACTAGAATAATACTTATATTGTTCTAAAACTTTAATAATAAGTAGTATCTAACATAACCCTGAGTGTGTTGTTTGTCACTGAGCGATTTTTCTTGGTTTATTTCTATATTTTACAGCAATGGCTAGAAATGTCCAAAACCGTTTATAAACAATTAAAATGTAAGTAACGTTTATTAATAATTTGTATATTTACCGAAATTTATATTGAATCAAAACTGTGACCTCTTAATACTTGGATACCAATTCAAAACACTTACTTACGCCTGTTATTCCCAATGGAGCATAGGCCTCCGATCAGCATTTTCAACCCACTCTGTCCTGGGCAATCCTTTCTTGTTCTATCCAGTTTTCGTTCATTCTTCTCATGTCTGTCTCTATTTCTCGGAGTAATATGTTTTTTGGTCTTCCTCTTCTCCTTTGGCCTTGAGGATTCCATGTAAGGGATTGCCTTCTGATTCAGTTGGGTGATTTCCTCAAAATATGAGTTAAAACATGTAGATTATGAGTAACTTTGTTGAGAATAAATTTAGTTGATAAATTAGTCTCTTAGGAATAGTAATTTCGATGAGACTATAATTTATGGATGACCTTTGAGTGACGTTAGTGTAACCTTGATAATGTCCATCTACTAACTAGAATTAAGTGAGGATTATAAATCAGTGTGAAGGATTAGAATTGAATTTTGATGATAAAATTAAACGTTGGAAATAATAGCGGTGGTTGTTAAGCTTCAACTAATAACATGAATAACTTAATTAAGTTATCTGATATATAAACGTTGTTGACGCACACAGTATGCGGTGTGGTCTACTTATATCCATATAAGTAGTATATGGTGTGGGTCAGACATAGAATGTATTTTCGCAGAAGACCGATGAGCAAAGAACTGAGATGAAGCGCAATCGTTTGGAAAATGCATGAGCAATGGAATTAGATAAGAAACAGTGAAGATTGAAACAATTGGTTGTTAATTTGCAAATTGACTGTTCATTGTTTGGTTATCAGAATTTACTGAGATAGTTTGTAATGTTTGCTGAAATACATTCGATTGTCCCCAACCAGTGTTCTATTCACTACAAGTATACCTATTACCCAAAGTTTCCGTCATTAGACGAGAATATGGTCACCAATTTAACCCCATATGTCCGATTCCAAAAGTAAAATGATTCAGTACAAGAAATACAAGACTACAAGGTGCCATAAATAATAAATCACTATTTATTCCTGATTAGAATATTTAAGGTAAGAAAATCTCGGAATACTAGGCTTGTAATAATAATTGACAGTTATTTGACAACGGAAAAAGTTATGACAATAGTCAATTAGTTAAACGAAAGATTGGAGTAGGGAGAATACAAAAGAACGATGTAAATAAGTGTTCAGTAAATATGATTTAAAAATATTAATAGTGATATCCTAAAGAAGTAGTGCAGAAAGTTTACCATTCTCTCTCTCACTTATCGCAGATCAACGAGGTCATACCATCGGAGATATATATCAGAATAACTTCTCTAGGTATATCTATAATATCAACATTTCCACTAGAAATAGATAGTTAAACATTGACATATTTCAATCTTTTTAAGGAAATTGTTGAATACTCGAAGCAAAAGTACTTTAAGAAAGGTGTTGGCGCGATTCTGAAAATCTCTTGCAATAAACATGACAAGCTCAGGAAACATTAAGAAGCATTTTATTCAATCAAAGTTGACTAGAAGTTTTGCTGGAAACATCACGAGTGCGAATAGTTACTTGTAGAGTTTCTGATTGACTGATTACTAAATTGATACTATGTTCAGTAGCATTCCGGAATTCTCAGGAAAACCCAGAGACTTCTATAATACTATAAAAACCTTATATTTTCTGTACATAAATGAACCTTTGGAGTAAAGTGCTTCTCGCATATTTTGCGCCTTTTCTTACGTGTTCAAGTCGCTATGTAGCTCTAGCTTGATGGTTACGAGACTAGGTTAGGATCCGAATATAGCGTTCAGTCAGAAAGACTTATCAGAATCAGAAATCACACTAATAGAGTATGCTTGACAACAAAAGAAGATGAAATTTTCATTTATATTACCTTGAGTGGTAAAGCTAAGTACTACAAGCGTTCATTTAAAATCACAAAACAAACGTCTAAAAGTGTTATAATGAAAGATTAAAATGACAGTTATATGAGCCCTAATCAACTGAAAACTCGGTTATAAACTTATTAAGAATAAATTTCTGATATATCATATCTTAATTCTTAAAATAATTTCAATAGACAAGAATGATTTCTGGTGGTTCATTTAGTTTAAGATCACATCGGATATGAGACAGTTATCTTCGAATTGTACCAGAAGATTTAAGTAACATATTGCAAATAGAGTAAAGTATTGGATACCAATCTAGTGCTCTGAAGATTGAACACTTGGGATAAAACCTTAAGGTCATTTGCCTGATTCTATTGAGGCTGTATATATGAACTGCCAATGAGTAGTCAAGTACCAAGACAAAATATTAGCTATTCAATGGTTCTTAGTTTCCAACGGTTGACTAATTAAAATCTCTGTCTATATATTATAAACGGTTTGATGTACAATGCTTTAATGTAATAAATGGCTGAATCTTTTTCAGATGTTAGTCCAAGATCACTAAATTTTCGTGTTAAACATTATCCAAGTGATCCAGTTAATGAATTTCGTCAAGAAAAAAGTCGGTAAGTGATTTGAACTTCTGTAATTCAATTCACAGTCAAGTAATATATTTAATTTGTTTAAAATAGCTAGTAGTTCAATATAGACCCCTTAAAACAGTGTGTTGTGTAGAATTGGTAGACTACTTTGTAACTCTGCAAACTTACATTAAGTGACTTAACTAGAAGATATTTCATTAAGTGACAAAATTAAATATTTAATAGTTAACTTCATGAGTTAATTGAAGCTATACCGCGATGGACACCTGGAAGCACTGGACGATTGTTTCGTCCTATTATGGGACGCCTCAGCAGTGCGCATCCACGATCCTGCCTCGCGAGATTTGAACCCAGGATCTACCAGTCTCGCGCCAAAGCACTTAACCGATTCCAGGTTTTCCATGGTAGTCTAGCTTCAATTGACTCATGATTTCAACCATGAAAAATACTGAAATATCTACAAAACCCCAACTGATTGATTGTTGTTTATGATAAGTTAAATGAAATAATAATGACTATAAATCGTGTACCTGTGTGGTTGCGCCACACGATTGAATTGTTTTGTTCAGGCTGTAGTGTTGAAGTTCATATAGTGTCTGGTTCTCCTATGGGGGGATTGGGCTGTACTGCTTGGGTTAAGCCTGGGCAGTGTCTAGCTTTCCTGTTAAACGGGATTGTTTGGGTACTGTTTGGGTTGTCTCGTGAAAGTCTGGATGGTGTCTGGTTCTCCTGAAAACCAGTGCGAAATTACCCTGGCCCACAAGGGTATATTATATAACTTGTATAAATCGTTGAATACACAGTTACTGAGCTATTTGTTTATGTCATTGATTTGTATCATTGGTTCCTAGTTAGTATATCTTTTTCTAAGACCTAGTATTATCAAACACAACTGAATTCGATCGGTCTCAAACTTTTGAAAGTGATTTCTTCGTATCTTTAATCTTAAGAACATCTAAATCTCTGAGATTAGTAACAAGGGAGATGTTTGTTTGTTGTGGGAAGTCCAATAAAAATATTTGATTCTTGGAATAGTTAATGTTCTGAGAAAATCGGTTTGATAACACATTAGTCAACAAAGCTGATATTACTACATACAAATATTGATTTTTATTTGATATTCAAAGGCCAACCTACAACGGGCAATATACAAAGTACATTTCTTCAGATCAAGTAGATAAACCTGATACATCCTCTACCCTGAAAGCTAGATAAATCTGCGCGGAATAATTAATCAATGAAGGATTAAATAAAACCAGACAAATGCTTATGGAGAATGACTTTCTTCCTAGGTTGACTGACATTAATCTGAAATCAGTTTATTCACTTATATGGAACCTTTTATATTGAACTCACAAAGTGAACATTTTCCAAATCCACATCTGAAAACTGCATAAAATAGTTGCTTGGAGGTCAAGAAAGATCAGTACTCCATTTTATTCTTGGAGATCTGGTTGTTTTCACTGATACCACTTCATCAGAATCTTCCTTTAAGATGACTAACTCAAGGAAACTGAGTCTGACTATGAAGCTAGGTGACATGGGATCGAATCAGTTATGAAGCATCAGTTTCCTCAAGATTACAGGCAGACCTTTCTGGCGTCTGCTAAGTAGCAAGAAACGTGGGTCCAGGGTTTCATACAGACAACCTGCAAACCACCATCTTACATCTCAACATAGTGCACACGATGTCGAGTCACCTACACCAGTTGCCACATAGAAGCTTGGTCGATTGGATTCGATCTTCACTAGGAAAGACCTGTCATGCGTGATATTGGCCACTACTCAGTGACCGATCATCTGTAAATATATCACAACGTCTCCAACATCGTCATCATGAGCTAAAGATGTCTTCAATCATCTTAGAGACTCATAGAATTCAATACAATGTATTCGTAACATTGATAAAATGATCCTTATTGAAATCATGGAGCAATCTATGTTTAACCACCATCGAAAACATGAAAACACTGGACAACTGTTTTGTCCTAGTATGGGACTCCTTGGCGATGCTCATTCTTAATCTTACTATAGGAGATCGAAACAAAGACCGTTAGTCTAACGAGCAAACGTCTAACATCTAGACCGCTGAGTTGTCATTCAGCACTGTTAATGTCTAACTTCGATCACTCCAAAATATTTGCATAATCGTTCTCAGACGAAACGGCCATCTGGGGCCTCCAGGTTTACGATGGTGGTCTAATGAGATTAACCAACCTCTACATTCCCATACTGAAAATATATAGTAATTTTTGAAACATAAAATGATCAGTTTCAGAATGAAAGTAATTAGAATGATTACACTACATAGACTGATGCACAAATTTGGACTGTACATTCATATGTTCTGTACATCCTAAACTTATATTATTTATTTTATTAGTATTCATACGATAAAAATATTGTCCAGAATAACAATGAAAGCTTCTTAGTTAAACTTTTCAAATTAGAGAATAAAATTGATATAACAATTTATATAACATATGAAACTGACTCTCTGTTCTAAACTTCTGTGATATGTATTCACATCTTAAGAAGTAGAAGAGATGTTAGGTTCATTAATATTAGTTGACGTATTATAAAATTTATACCCAAATAATAATACCTGTGTAGTGTGGGTTACTGATATCCACATAATTAGTATATGGCGATAGTCGGGCATTGAGTGCATTTCAGTAGAATATCGATAAGGAGAGAACGGGAACGGCATGCAATCGGTACGAAAATGCATGAACAATTATAATCGGAGACTATGAATGGATATTTGCAGAAGAAACAGTCAAAGTGAGACAACTGATTGTTATTTTGCAAGTTAACTGTTCACTATATGGTCCTCATATTTTATAGAGATATTCTGTTATGTTGTGCTAAAATACATTCGATTGTCCCCACCCGTGTCCTCATTCACTATACTTGTGAATAATATTCGGTAATATTATACTAAAGTAACTGAATACTTATCTTTCTTGTGTTTCCGTTAAAGAAGTATTGATCTCTGTCGTTTAATTTTATGATATAGTCAATATGTGCTCAAGCAGTAAATTGTTGAATTCTTATTATTGATTACAACTCAAGCCAGTTTATACAACGATCAGCGGAGTCCAATCCATGTCGGGTGTGAAACAGTTATTCACTTCAGACAATGGATGAATGGTTGTACAAGATAACTGATCGATTGAAGTTAGACATTAACACCATTGGATGCCGGCTCTATCTTCTATAGGTTAAGCGTATGCGTGCGAGACTGAATATCCTGGGTTCGAGTCCCAAATGTGGGATCGTGGATGTTCACTATTGCGGAGTCTCATGCTAGGACGAAACAGCCGTTCATTTTTTCTAAGTTTCCGGTGGTGGTACAGCTTAGATTGACTCATGCATTCAACTTTGAAAATTATACGAATTTGACTGTTATCCTAACTATGCAAAAATCATTTTTAATTATTTTGTACGACAAATAAATCCCTGGTCATCAATCTTTGGCTTTTGGACATCGTGAATTTTTCTGTTGTGTTCAAGTTGCTTCGTAGATTTTAGTCTAGGGTTATTGGAAGTGGCTAGAAAATCGGAGCAAGCATTCAACTAATAAGACTTATAGAGTTGAGATTATGAGTCAATTGAAGCTATACCACCATGGAAAACCTGGAAGTATTACTTTAAGGCCGTTTCGTCCTATTATGGGACTCCTCAGAAGTGCACATCCACGATCTCGCCTCCCGAGATTCGAATCCAGGACATACCACTCTAGCGCCAGAACACTTAATCGATAGACCACTGATTTGGCCGGAATCTAACGGTGTTAATGTCTAATAAGACTTACCAACAATATCACTAAAAATGTGGTGTAACTGTTTTTTGAAACATTTACATTTGAATTTATATTGTTATACTATTTTGTTCAATAATCAATAATGTATGTTTTATTTGATTTTATACAAAATACAAAACAAAACTGTTTACTTATGGAATAAAAAAATCAACATACAATAAGATACTTACTCTATCTTCAATTAAGGCGTGATTTACATAGTGGAAGATTGATTGGAAGAAATTTAGAAATGCATGTACTAGCAGCATGTATACTACAAGGTTAGTTATTATTAAAAAAATTATTATGATATTGATGTACACTTGTTTACCTGAGTAACATTTTCCTAATTTATCTTTAAGAATTCTCATAATGACCTCAGATAGATATCTAATGAAAGTGAGCAGTGGATGATTGTTTAGATGCATTTTAGGATTCCTTAGTGTTAGTGGTAATGCAGAAACATTCAGGAGATTAAGACTAAAAACCTAATGTCTCTTGACAAGTGCAAATCTATTAGATAATTGTGTCAGGGTCCAATTTTAAACTTAAATCAATAAGGACTATCCACATGATCATCTTTTTATGCCATTGGCGGGTAACTACCTCACGTCTAATATGGTTGAACTCCACTGATAAAAGCTTCTCACTTTGATTGAAAATGACAAATCGATCTTTATTAATAGTGAGCTGTCCAGTTCTTCCTGGTTTTCAGCGGTTATCTAACTACACAATCATCTATGGTAGTAAAATACGCAAATTGTAAATGAAGTCTGATAATTATGGGAAGACAGATGATTTAGGATTCTCTACTCATTAAATAGCCAATTTTTATGAGTTACTTGTATAAGGAATCCGGAATGATGTGAAGAAAACTATATTTATATCAATATATATGGAGAGAGAGAGAGAGTATAAGGAGCTCTTCTCTAGGATGAACTGTTGAGTTCAATCGTTCAAATACCTAAAAATTAAGATCGCTGAAATTCATACTGCTGACTTAAGTAGCAAGATTCTTTTAACTATATTGAGTTCATAGCAAATAATAATAATTATTATCATTATGATTATTATTATCTTTTTAGCTGAAATTGGAGATTACGATGTCTTATTAGATTATTTAGGACCAGAAGGTACATTAGCCGATCTTAAAATGTTTGCTAATATTACACCAAAAACAGAATCAAAAATTGTTGAAATTTATAAATCACTCAAGTAAGTAGAATTTTTTGGAAAATCTTATTAAAAAAGTGTGTTTAATCTAAAGCAATTTTAAAATAATTGACTTGATATTGTTTAGTTGTATCTTCTTATTAATGCTTAGGACTGTAATTGATCAGTCTCTCATTGGCATACATAAATCCTGTATGGATTGCCTCGATATTGTCTTGATTCACAAGTATTATAAGCAAAGATGGATAGTGACTAGCATTGGAATCAAGGAAGCGCGTTTTGTATTATTTTTGACAATCAGGTGGCTATCAGGAGAACACAATGACGTTTGAAGTTAACGGTACTGTGTTCTAGTCCCAGAGTGAACATCAACCCTGAGATGCTGGTACATCCAGCTAACGAGTCACAAATAAGACGAAGCAAGCATCCAGGATTCTACTGCTAGCCACTATCCATCTTCGCTTGCAACTTTAAAACAGTATATAAATTGTAAGCAAAGATGGATAGTGGCTAGCATTGAAATCCATTTTGACGCGCGTTTCGTTCTATTTGGGACTCTTCAGCTGGATTTACCTGCATCTCAGAGTTGATGTTCACTCTAGAACTCGAACCCAGTACCGTTTACTTCAAACATCATTGTGTTATCCACTCAGTTACTGAGTCCTGATAGCCACCCGATTGTCCCGAATAATACGAAACGCGCGTCCTTACAATGCTTACAATGCTTGTAAATTAAGGCTAAATCGAGGCAGTATGTACAGTATGCACATATGCCATTTAGAGACTGATCAATTGCAGTCCTAACATATCAATGGGAAGATTGAAACAAACAATACTAAGTGAATGTAGTATATAAATTATTTTTTATATCAATGGGAAAAGAAAGTACCAATATTCATGGGGAACAAGTAATAACCATGACGTACACTCACAGATTTATCTTATCTTCATCCTTACTTTTAATATATATTTATCTTCATAGAACATATATAAGTATCATTGTCTAATAATATCAATGATTAAGCCATTTGCTTCAATAAATTAAACGTGGAATAAAGCAGCCATTGTTTAGAATAATGTTCTATTATTAAGATATTCATAGACATCAATTTTCTTTTCTAACTGTAATACTCTTTTCAGAGGCATGTCAATGAATGATGCTGAGAATAAATTTCTTGAAAATGCTGCCAAATTTGAAACCTATGGTATTGAACCTTTATATGTTCAAGTATGTTTATGATTAATTTTTTTCTTGTTATATACTACTGATTAATTGTAGTAAGTTGATAAAGTTGACCAGCAAGAATATTGAAATTTATTTACCAAAAAAGAAAAATTATTTAGACAGTTTTGTAAATATGATTTCTCTAAATGAGGAAATACATTAGAAGGAGTTTTGTGAAGAATTTAGTACTTTCATAGTTGAAATCATGAGTCACTTGAATCTAGACCACCATGGAAAACCTGGGATAACTGGATGACCATTTCATCCTATTGTAGAACTCCTCATCAGTGTACATCCACGATCCCGCACTCGCGAGATTCGAACTCAGGACCTGGCAGCCATAGCGCTTAACCTAACTTTCGTCTAAATTAGAGCGAATAGTTTCATGGTATTTGGGCACCGAGTTGATGTAAGACAATAAGTAGGAAGAATATGTATTTGTAAAATCGGAGCGAATGAATTTGAAGTAAATCCAACGTTTCGCCTGACAATCTGGTCCAAGCTTTTTCAAGGAATTATAATCAAACATCAAAATTATCAAATATAAAACGATACATGGTTCTTCGGTTCACTGTATACTGAATAAGTCATCCAATCAGCGTTAAAAATGTCTAAAATTAGGTATATGTATATGTATATGTATATATATACAATATGTTATCTTAACACCTTTCATTTCACATCACAAGTCTCTTACACACTAATACATATACCTAGTTTAGACATTTTTAACGCTGATTGGATGACTTATTCGGTATACAATGAACTGGAGAACCATGTACCTATTTCTATTCGACAATTTTGATGTTTGATTATAATTCCTTGAAAAAGCTTGGACCAGATTGTCAGGCGAAACGTTGGATTTACTTCAAATTCATTCGCTGAGATTTTAGAAATATATTATTATCAAAAAAAGTTTTTTGGAGATTTAGTATTTGCATAGTTGAAAGTGTGTGTCAATTGAAGCTAGACCACCATGAAAAACCTAAAAGGACTGAAAGTCCGTTTCGTCCTATTATGGGACTGATGATAATCATATGCTCACTAGTGACTGTCTTCGAGAGGTAAATCCAGGAGTTCTAGTGAAAAGCAGAGACCAGTGGAGTTCAAACCACGTCTGTTGTTGAGATATCAACTCACTGAAGACAATTGGTGAACGGTCGCTCAACTTCGTGGATCAGTTGAAGTTAGACATTAACACCCTAGGATACCGGCTCAGTGGTCTATCGGTTAAGTGCTCTGGCTCGAGACTGGTAGGTTCTGGGTTGGAATCTCGCGTATGCTGGATCGTGGATGCGGACTGCTGAGGAGTCCCACAATAAGACGAAATGACTGTCCAGTGGTTTCAGGTTTTCTATGGTAATCTACCTTCAATTGACTCATGTTTTCAACTATGCAAATATATTCTTCCTATTTAATACCTACGGTTCTATTTAAGACTTCATGTTCTTTGAGACTAAAACGATAAGAAAATGATTGATAATTGTTTTTTATTTCCAACAGTATGCATAACAATATCTTTTGCAGTGTGATAGGAGCTAATTCACAGAATTCATTTGACTTATTGAACGTAAACATGATCAGTAAATAACTATGAATCAAATTAGAGTTAAATCATATTCAGATGTTGGATATGATTTAGTGTGTGAAACAGAACATACGACTCATTTTGACAGATTGAACTAAAGTCTTATGAAGAACGACTGACCATTGATGCCTAAGTAAGTGAAGGTGTGGTATTTTCGTCATAAAAAATTACATTTTTCATGTAAGCTAGAGATGTTAGATAACAAAACACGTCCCTCATCATGGAATACAATAGTGTAAATCATAATTCCCGCCTCGTTTTGATTGGTTGCCAGTTGCAAGGTCAAAATTGTGAACAAGAATGAAGTTCTGACTTGAACAGAATATAAAATTGATTATAAGTTTGATTAAAGCAATAAATTAGAAAGGGGTTTTTGTGGATATTTCAATTTTTTGATAGTTGAAATCATGAGTCAATGGAAGCTAGACCACCATGGAAAAACTGGAAGCACTGGACGGACGTTTCCTCCTATTATGGGACTCCTCAGCAGTGCGCTTCAATTGACCCATGATTTTAACTATGAAAATACTGAAATATCCACAAAAACGCCTCCTGATTTATACTCATATGCTTACTGGTGACTGACTGTAAGGAATGTTTCCTTGAGTCCTAGTGGGAAGCAGTGACCAGTGGAGTTCTACCAAGTCTGTTGTAGATATATCAACTCACTGAAGAAAATTGGTGAACGGTAGCTCAAAATCGTTGTTTGGTTGAAGTTAGACATCAACACCGTTGGATGCTGGCTCAGTGGCCTATCGATTAAGTGCTCTGGCTCAAAACTGGTAGGTCCTAGGTTCAAATCTCGTGAGTCGGGATCGTGGATGCGGACTGCTGAGGAGTCACACAATAGGATGAAACGGCCATCCAATGCTTCCAGGTTTTCTATGGTGGTCTAGGTTCAATTGACTCACGCTTTCAACTATAAAGCAATATATATCAATCCATGAAAACGTCTTCTAAATACTAAACCATGTTTCATATATGATACTTTGTTCATTGTACAATGAATAGACCGAATGGACTTGATTTGCTTTTCCCTTATTACAATTAATGGTATGATAAAACAATATGGTATTCTTAAATCCACGGATACAAAAGTTCAATAGAATAAGTAACCATCTATCAAATTTCATGGTTGTATTATAATTTTATAGAGAGAAAAAAACTATTTATGGAAAGAAAAAAACCAAAAGTACACAATTACATAGTATTATGATCGAATGAAAGAGATTTGAGACATGACAAATAAATTATAAAGGTCATAAGAGTGTACGTTTTACTAAATGTCATAGCAACAACTAATATAAACTTTATTATAACCTGGAAAAGTATTATGGAAAAAAACAAACACCCAGTTTTGGAAATTCTGAGTTAACTATACTTTACGTTTTAACCATTAGAATGTTTCCTTTGTAATTTTATAAGAATTTTAAATGTAACAATAGATTGCCTCATTGAAATGTCTACAATCTCTAACAATGATATAAACTATTGTGTAAAAATTATGTCAGAAGGGGCTTTTGTGGAGTTTTCAGTAATTTTATAGTTGAAATCATTAGTCAATTGAACCTAGACCACCATAGAAAACCTGGAAGCACTATACGGCCGTTTCATCCTTTTGTGGGACTCCTCAGCAGTGCGCATCCACGATCCCGCCTCGCGAGATTCCAATCCAGGACCTACCAGTTTCGCGCCAGAGCACTTGACCAACAGACCACTGAGTCGGCATCCAACGGTGTTAATGTCTAACCGTTCACCAATTGTCTTCAGTGAGTTGATATCTTCCAACAGACCTGGTTGAACTCCACTGGTCACTGCCTCTCACTAGAACTCTAGGAAATATCTCTTGAAGTCAGTCACTGATAGATTCTGGGTTGGAATGTCGCAAGGCGGGATCGTTGATGCGCATTGCTGAGGAGTCCTACAATAAGACGAAACGGACATCCAGTGCTTCCAGGTTTTCCTTGATGGTCTAGTTTCCATTGACTTATGATTTCAACTATAAAAAATATATTTCAAGAAACACCTTATTACAAGGAAACACGGATTTTAATTGAATCAGTTTAATATCTTACTTTAAGCTCTTATCTGATAGTTGTTTGGTTAGATTTTTAATGTTATTCAGGAGTGAATCATTCAATTGATTGATAGGAGATTATATGCGTTTATACTCATGTGATCAAGCAGTTTACAGAGAAAATGAATGGGAATTTGTGTGTCATTATTCAAAGAGTATTTACTGCTATTGTTGACTTTTGTTAAGCAGGAGATAAATAGTTTGTGATGATGCGTTATCGGCTTCTTAGGAGACTGTGGAAACAGAATTTAAGAAGTAAAACAGCATTGAAACATGTATAGGCTAGACACTTAATAAGTTGTTATATCTAGTATGGACTTGTAATATATATGAATGTGCAATTAGAGAGGTAGTGGATTTTATTGATCGAACGCAAATAATACTTGAAATCGTACGAGCAGACTAAAATGCTAACCGGTCCTGCGATCTGTCTAGCCCAACCAGTTAAGTCCAAAACACCGATAACAGCCTCAGTGATATGAATCATTATTTACAAACACATTGGGTTTTTATACAAATCAAAGAAATCAATAAACTGATTATAGAAGGGGTTCACAAGGATTGTAAGCAAAGATGGATGGCTATCAGGACTAAGTAGCTAAGTAGATAACGTAATGGCGTTTGAAGCGAAAGTTACTGCATTCAAGTTCCGGAGTGAACATCAACTCTGAGATGCAGGTACATCCATCTGACGAGTCCCAAATAGAACGAAACGCGAGTCAAACTGGATTCTACTGCTAGCCACTATCCATCTTTACTCTAAATACATTTGTTTTGTTCCGTAAACAATGAAATTCAACAATCTCTATAAATCCCCTAAATGTACTGAAATCATTATATTTAATCCGTCATTTAGTTACACTTGGATAGAGTAGAGATCAAAGATTAAAAAAAAAAAAACGGGAATTTTTCATTTATACTTTTAAATGTTTATATAATATAAGAGGATGTTGAGCTTACTAAAATTACCGTTTCATTCATCCATTTATCATCATTGAAATCTTTTTTTTTATTACACTTCCATAAATGGCATATAATTAAATTAGAAAAACAAATAAAAAAATTTTTTTTGCCTGTTTTCTAGCTCATTATAATGATAATCATAATTACTATTATTAATGTTATTTATATTACAATACTGTGATAGATAAATTCAGAACCATAATTATCTACTTTACTAAATGATTTATAGTAAATTTTAAATAAAATCAGAATACATAGTTGTGGGACTCCTCAGCAGTGTGAATCCACGATCCCACCTCATGAGGATCGAACTTAGGACCTATCAGTATCACAAAATACATTCTGATATTATTTCTTCAATTCTTTATAAATTTA